CTGAGTTTCTTCGATGCTCTGATGAGTGTCTACGTGTGACCAAAGGTTCCGTCGGATGAACAGTGTTTTCTCGGGCGGCTTCGGGCCTACCGTGTGGAAAATCTTCAATGCTACAAAGGTTGTCGTGAGGAAAGGATCAAGCATCGTGAACCGTGTTTCCCATCTGCGAATAGTGTTTCAGTTATTTGCTACTGATTGTCGTGTGTGGGAAAAAGTGTTCGACCTTCATTTGCAAAACAAATGAAAGCAAAGGAGCGAGCGGAGTACTTAGCGGGCTGAGCTTGTGCGTGATATAAATGCGTAGCGTAAAGCGACACACTATGGCATGACAGCAAAGGCCGCGTATCGTTGGTAATTTTGCAAGGTGATTAGCAAGCGAAGTAAAGGCGAGATAATTAGAACAACAAGAGATGACAGTGGCGCGTCGCGAGATTGATGGAGATATAAATCTTGCCAAGTGGTATGCTAATAATTAGTGAATGACAATAATTTATCATTTGACTTTGTGGCTAAGGAGCTCTCACGTGGAGAGAGATGACGTGCTGGAAGGACAACTTGGACAAGGAATAAATTAGAGCTCAATTTGAGAATTAGTGCAATAAAATTTAATTTCTCATTTACCACATGCAATAATACATAAACATGATGCTCCTGACATGGTTTAATATTTTGATTAAGGCGTAACACCGAGGGTGTTACACTGGCGCATCCCCTGAGGCCGTCGTAGGGCCTCCCTGTTAGCAGGAGTGGCGGCTTCTGGGCATGTCCCTTCCACTAACGTCTTGCAAAGGTGGTTCATGGCGTCTAGGCCATCGTGCCTAATGGAGGAGTTAAGGCGTGCACCCCCGCACCGTCCCACTTCGTCTAGGAGATGGGACATTGGGGCCACATGGAGCAAATCTGGCAGAGGAGGAGCCGCGGCACTTGGTGTGCATGGATCCAAGCTATCGATGATAGCCGGTGGGCCTGAGGGGAGTCAGATCCCCTCAAGTCCCACGAGGAGGCATGCGTGGAGTGGGTGGCACGCGTGGTGGAAAGTGGAGCGAAGACTTGACTTGTTGTCAGTAGTTCCCTGACTATGCCTTTACTGCACGACCATCATCACGCAACCGCCTGGAGGCATGCTGTGGAGATTGAAGAGACACCCGGTCGGTTCCCCAAGGCCCCTTCAGGCCACTGATGGTTGATTGAAGGGCCTGAAGCCGCTCATAGAGCATCGTCTAGGCTATAAAGGGGAGCCCCGGGGGACATAACGTCTTCAATCCTTTCCTCTAGCTCCTTCTCTTCGGCAGTGATGGCAATGATGAAGTGCGATGCTTCTCTCTGGGTGAGCTTGTCTTGGTACACTGGGCAATTTCTTCTTCGAGGGTGGAAGGACTCTAGCAAAGGAGGGGCGACGACACGGCGCTAGAGGCATCTATCGCGTTCCCCTCCCCTAGAAGGTGCAAGGACTCTAGGGATGCCGCTAGAGTCCTTACACCCTCTAACAGGGGAGGGGGACCACGATGTGCCAGTCGTTGCCCCTCCGTCCCGGTGACGGTAAGGAGGGCCCAGCCCTGTTGATGGTACAACGGTCGGTGTTGCCCGTCCTCAGGCCTCGGGGGGAAGCCCTGGGGTGGCCCACTGGCCCAAGCCATGCATACCGTAGGGCCCCGACCTTGGGGCGATGCTGCTTGCTTCGGCGATGAGGCGGGTGGCTCCAGCCACCGTAGAGCTAGAATCGCACTTGACGCTGCTCCCTACCTGGCGCGCCAGCTGTTGTAGGGTCAGAACCGCAACACGCATTATTGTTTGAGTCAGTGTTAGAGTACGGGTCTTCGGTGGCTCGGGTGGACTCAATAACACAAGAATCATAGAGAGGATGCAACGATTTATCCTGGTTCGAGCCAATCGATGCCCTACATCCAGCAGCTAATGATCCTTATACTCAAAAGCACCCAAAATTAGGGGGTTACAACAGGGTTATAGAGAGATTTAGTATGGGGTTAGCTTGGTGCTAATCCTAAGGTTGCCTCGCCGTTAGTGGTGCCTTCCCTCGTTAGAGAGGAGGAAGACGACGGGATGCGGTGGAGGAGCTCTCGGTGCCCCTCGGTGGGTTGCCTTGGTCTTAGTGCTGAGCGGAGGCCATGGAATGGAATGATCTATCTTCTCCTGATCGTCCCCCCTAGATCTGACCTTATCCCTTATATAACGAGATAGGTCGGGTACATGGCGGTTTGGGGGAACTAGTTTACGATCTACATGTGCCGGAGTTTAGGAGGGCCTTGCAATGACGTGCAGTGGACCATGGTGTTGTGATAGAGCCGAAGAAGCCTTGGGTGCCGTCCGGCTGCTCTGTTCTGACACTCTGCATGTCAGGCTGTGTTGGCTAAGACCGGACTCCCCTAGGTGGACCTTTCAAAGTCTTCTTGGCAGTGAAGGAGGTCGGCTTCAGGGGCTGACGCGTGGGCTTGGGGCCTTCGAGCCCCCGGAGGCCGCTGGAAAGCTTTGTCTTCTTGTGTCATGCCCCGTGCGTGACCTTGTCAAGAAAGTGGCCAGCAATGCCGTGCCCAAGGAGCATCGCCGGGGGAGCCCCCGAGCCTCGGTAGCTCAGGGCGTGTCTTCTTACGCCCAGGCCTTGGCAGGCGTAGCTTGCTGGGTAGGAGCCAAGGGCCAGCCCAAAGTGTTGGCATAGACCTGGAGCCTAGGGGCTCAGGCAAGCCCCCGAGCCCCAAGCGGAAGTCGTGGCGGAGTCAGGCTCGGCCAAGTTTCTTCTCCATAGGGTGTGCGCGAGCGTACCCAATGGGTTTATCCCCGAGCCCCCGGGCGATCCTAGAGGGGTTGGTCGGAGGTCTTCTTCGTTCAGGAACCACTGGACTCGAGGCTTAACATACCCAAATGTTATGATCTCGTTAGTGAGCCTTCCGTAACTTTTTGAAAAGGAGAGAGTAGATCAAACATTTAAAAATTACAAAGGTCATAATAACTTTTTGGACCGTGTTATCACATAAACTAGAAGATACCTTGGACGTTACTGTGGGAATCACAGTGTAGCATGCTGATATAGACAACTAAATGTACGTTAGTAGATGATGCGGCTTGCTAACGTGAATAGCTTGAATAAAGACATAATTACATGTGTTAGTAGACTGTCATAATTACGTGTTAGTGGATGCTGAAGCAGACATTTTGTATGGCATGATAGAATGCAAGTGGAGATGGAAAATATAAGATATATAGATATGGATTACAAAAGGTTATTAAAATATAACTCCATTTTTGCTTCCACAACTTTTATCTTTGTCTAATTTTAAACCCTAATTACAGGACCGTCTAACTTTTGCACGTCAACTATCAAAACCATTTAAATTTAACACGAGAGTCATATGAAAACCACTTAAAACCAACTCGGGATTAAAATTGAATGGTTTTGATAGTTGAGGTGCCAAAAAGAAAAGCAAGAGTTGGGAGACCAAATATGGACTTAATCAAACTTTAGTTTTTTAGACATTTATAAAAAAATATATGTTTAGATTTACTGATTGATAAATACCTATATGTATTAAAGTATTTATCTACACATTATTGGATTTTTATATATTGGATGAAGAAATGACCAAAATTAAAGCTGTAGATCTTAACGAGATCTATAACTTTGTATTTGATGACTTTTTCATTTGCAATAATTTTAGGACCCCAAAATTCTGTTCGAAGTTCTCGTAATTTGAATTTCAAATTTTTTTGAAATTGTTCCAATAAACTTTGATGGAGAAATGGCCAAGACCACACTTGTAGATCTTAATGAGATATACAACTTTGTAGTCGATAAATTTTTCACTTGAAATCATTTATGGCCCAAAATTTTGTTCGAAGTTCTCATATTTTGAAATCATTTTTTGAATTGTTCAAACTTCATAGAAATAAAAAAAATTCAAACTCATAGATTTTGATGAGATATACAACTTTCTAATTAATGACTTCTTCATTTGAAATCATTTGCCATCCTAAAATTCTGTTTGAAGTACTTTTATTTTGAAATTTAATTTTTTCGAATTATTCGAACAAACTCGGAGGAAGAAATTACCAAAACTAAAGTTTTAGATATTGATGAGATATACAACTCTGTAGTTATAGTCTATCTCATTTGAAATTATATATGGTCCTAAAATTATGTTTGAAGTTTTCATATTTTTTCATCCAAAATTTTCAAATTATTTGAATGAACTCGGATGGTGAAATAACCCAAATCAAAGTTATAGATATCGGTGAGACAGATTATATTTTTTTAAAACATTGGTTCCAAAGTTAATTTATTTGAAAATTATATTTTAATACATATGAATTTTATCACTTAGTAAATCTAATATATAATTTTTTTCATAAATATCTAAAAAATTAAAAATACTTGATTAATTCTATTTTTGTCGCACAACTATTGTTTTTGTCTAACTTTGTCACCCCAACTATTAAAACTTACTCCCTCTGTCTTGCTTTCAGTGTCGCTGTGGCAACCGGTACCTCTGTCCATGTTCACAGCTTGTGCCGTATACCTAGATCCTTCCTCTGTCCACGTTCATTTAATCTCTATCTTGCTAAAACCACTATGATAAATGGACAGAGGAGAAGTGGTTTTCAACGGCTCTAGGGTCAATTTTAAATGGTTTTTATTGCAAAAAAAAACATGCTAAAGTCAGACGGTTTTATAGCTGGGAATTAAATAAAATTACAAAAAACAAGAGTCGAAGGGGCGAACTTGTACTTAATCCTATTAAAAAAATATAAATAAATAATATAAAAATAAATAGAAAAACATGCTTTGGGACTGCCCAGCAACTCAGGCTCTCCGTCCCTACACCGAGTCCACCCATCCTCCCGTGCACCCGTCTCCTTCCCCTTCCTACACCCCGCACGCCGCACCCCACTCCCCGATCCCACTGCTCCCCAGATCCGCGCCCGAGCCCTAGTCCCCAGATCCGCCGCAGCGCCGGAGCACTCCTCCTCGCATTGGCGTCCGCGGCGCCATGGCGTGCCTCGCGATCTCCCTGCAGCCGGTGAACGGCCCGGACATCCTACTGCAAACGCGGTCCTGGTTCCCCGTCTCCCGCGCCCTCGCCACCGTCTCCGCCTTTCGCCTCGCGCGCCTCCACCTCGCACGCGGCAAGCAGCAGTCCTCCTCATCCTCCGCCTCCTCGGCCTCGCTCGATGCCATCGGTGACGACCCGCTCGCCGCCGCGTCGGGGCAGCTCGTTGTCGGCGTCGAGTCACAGTACCGCGTGGTGTACCGCCTCGTCAACTCCATCTACGTGCTGGGGGTCACCACCGCAGGCTCCGACCATGCCGCCCCCGCTGTCAACGCCTTCGCCGTCGCCGACGCCGTCAACCAGGCCGTCTCCGTCGTCGTCGCAGCCTGCCGTGGCGTCGACGTCACCCCCGAGAAGGTGCACCGCAAGTACCCCGAGGTCTATCTCGCTCTCGACCTCGTCCTCCACGGCGTTGGCTCCGTCCGCCTCTCCCAGATCCTCGCCACCATCCATGGCGACAACCTCGCGCGCATGGTCAACTCCTCCCCCGAAGCCGAAGCCCGGGCCCGCGGCGCGGATCCCTGGCCCGCCGTCGAGCACCTCGCGCAGGACCGCCACGTTGCGAGGGAGGGCTTCTCGGGCGCCTCTTTCGAGCTTCCCCAGGAGACGCTCGCGGCTGGTGACGAATTCTCGTCTAACATCGCCCCTGCAACCACTGTTGCTACTGGGGACGAGCCACCACCTGAGGAGGCAGCACCTGTGGAGAAGGATCCCTTCGCAGCCAGTGACCTGATTAACAACAAGCCGGAGGAGGCATTGGTGGGTGGATTCAAGAAGAACAAGGAGACTGCCCTTGTGGTTGCTGATCCTGCAGCTGCGCTAGCTGGATTGGAGGTCACGACTTTACCACCAGCTGAGGCGACTAAGCCGACATTTATTGGAGTTGAAGGGTTTGAGGGTGATTATGGTGGCATTGAGTTTGGCAATGATGAGGCTTCACTTGCTGAGGCGTTTGAAGGGCTCAATGCGCCATTTGGTGGTGGGCTGGATGCTTCTGAGTTTGTTACGACAACAAAGAAGGATCACAAGGACAGGACCGTCACTGGTCTTGAGCTGCTAGTAACAAGTGGGAAGCCACCAAATGCAGCTGCTGGTACTCCATTGGAAAATCTGTTGGTGACCAAGCGTACAGAAATGACTGCTCCTGAGTTATTTATTGCTGAGGAGATCAATGCAGAATTCAAGGAGTCTATTCTTGTGCGTGTTGGCTTGAAGGGTACAATCTTCCTGCGGACCTTGCCACTGAATAAGGCAGCGGGCAAGGAGACTGAGTTCTCATTTCGTCTTGAGGGCACATCAGGAATGAAGAGGGCTGCATTGCAGAGTAATGTGTTGAGTAACCTACAGAATGGATTGTTCCATGTCAGGACTGTGTCGAAAGAGGAGCCCATTCCCCTCATGAAGTACAGCTTCCTGCCGAAGCACTCGCCTCTCCCTTTGAGGATGCGCCTAGTGAAGCGCCACAGTGGGACGTTACTCTCAGTGATGATACAGTACGCATCCAATCCAATGCTACCCCAGCCTCTGAGCAATGTTACATTCATTGTTAAGCTTCCTGTGGATCCCACTCTGCTCAATGTTTCACCCAAGGCTGTGCTAAACCGGGCAGAGAGGGAGCTTAGATGGCATATTTCAGAAATTCCCCTGAAAGGTCCAGCCGGAAGGCTCAGGGCACGGATGCCTGTTGACCAAGACTCCAAAGATGGTGAGCTAGAGGTTGTTGGGATGGTGAAGTTTTCTTACCAAGGTCCATTCACATTGTCTGGCATTAAACTACGCCCAGCCACTGATGGAATTGCCCAATTTAATGAAGTTGGCCATACCTTCTCCAGTGGGATTTACCTGTGCATCTGATAGGTACCTTCTTGTACTGTAGGTGCTTCTTCACCTGTTTTTATGTTTGTTTGTTTCTACAGCAGGGTGTGAAAATCCTATTGTATGTAGCAAAGTGTGTTTCTTTCTGTGAGGCTGAAATTCTATCACGTTTTTGAGTTGTCTGTTTCTTGATATGTCATTTGTGATTACTCATGAAGGCTACTTTATACATCAAGTTTATCATTCATACAAAGAAACAATGTACTGCTCTATTTGATTGCTATTTTATTGCTTCTCTTTTTTCTTAGCATGCATTACTTAGAGATGTTATTGGCTCTGTTCAAAAGAGAATGCCACTGTAATTAGCTAGTATTAGATGATATCTAGTTATTCATGCAGGGCAACTGATTGATTTTTATTACAAAAAGATTGACACGACTGCATTCTCTGTTTTTATTGTATGATATCCCTGTTCATCAAGTTAAAGTTAGGAAGATTGCACTAATAGGTTACTCCCTCACTTCCCTCTGATTGCTAACGTAAGTTGCTTAGGGACATTTTATTGCCAATTTGTATGAAAAATATATAGCTAAAATAAAAAAGAATCATGTCTTGAAACTATTTTTTATGATATAAGTGTACCAGCATCAATCTTACATTCTCAATCTATCTAGGTGTTCTTATTGTGATGTTCAAAGTTGAAAATAGGAATCCTAAAGTGACTTGTATTACGAGGAAATACCTGTTTAGCAATTAGGATCAAGTTTCAATTTCAGTTTCATATAAAATCCACTGTAGAGCTTTCTCTGAAAGAAAGAAATCCCTACTGATGCAAGTTAACAGTCTTGGCAATGATTAATATACTCCGCTGTATGTATGGCACATTGATATTTCGGCAAATAACCAAAGAGATAGACAACTGACAAGAGTATTGGTCAACATATGCTCAAGTGCAATCTTGAGTGTTGGATCTAATCTGATTGGCCCAAGTGAAGGGTTGGAGATCCCTCATAATTGGGCTGACTTATGCCCAATTAGATTTAGTGAAATTAAAACTTAAAAGTGATAAGAGGTAATTAGTGAGTCAAATTAAAAGTGATAAGAGGTATGGGGGAGTTCCCACTTCTCACTTTTGGGCCACTCAGATTAGATCCAATACACAAGATTGAGTTTGTGCATATATACTCTTATACACTTTATATTTCCTCATAATTAAATTACGGGCAAGCTGAGCATGTTCATGATTACTGTGCTCCCCAGCCTGTTTGGGACACCAAACTGGTTTGAACACCTATTGGTTTCCTGGCTGATTATGAGTGAATGAAAATGGTAGTGTATAAACGTTCAATCATTAACCTCAAGTGTCACTCATTTGATACTGAGAAACCTGTGTTTCGTTTTTTTACTCTTACGTAAATTCCTAAACTCCTAATAAGAGTATAAGACGCCATATCCTAATATTGCAATACTAATTCCCTTGCACCCATTGATTCGTTGAAGTTCAAGTTTAACTGAGATCTTGTGCAAGTCATCATCGCAGTCACATATTGCTTGTGTCAATACTGGTTAATATGAAAGTTTATACTGCCTGTAGTGAGCATGGTCTTATCTTCTTGTTCAGATTTGTTTGTGCTGGCACATTAGATGAATATTGGTACCCTGAACAGATTATTGCTTCTAAATTGGAGTGAAAGAAACTGTCTCGGCTTTATCATGGACAGTAGAAGTACATTTAGTACAATGGTAAATAAAGAAGTGATGTCCTCAAATGTGTGGTCAAAAGTTTGTGTGGTGTCCAATACCTGCATGATCATGTAAATTGTTTACTTAAAAATGACATGAATTTAGTATGTTCATCAGAAAATGTCTTCAGAGTATCTATCATTTTATATATGTATATATATTGCTATAGAAATTAATGGCTGAACTTTTGTCTGGTAACCCGAGGTGTGTGGTGTGGTGTGAGTATGTATTGGGTATTTGAGCCTTTCTTTTCCCTATCTTAATGCAATGATACGCAGCTCTCCTGTGTATTCCAGAAAAAAACTTTTAGTTCAGAATTATATTGACTGGAAGTAGTAGCTGCTGCTTCCCTTCATTTCTGAAGTAACCCAACTAATGTCACATTTTCACTGAAGGTTTTTAATGCTATGGTTATTTCTCAAATTGATGCTTACATTTAGCTGTCTAATATTGGCCTTGGGAAAAGCAATGCCTTGTGATTATGAAGAACTTGTTTTCTAGTTTGTTTGAATCATTTGGAACTAAATAAGATGTTTTACTTGGTTTAAGCTGCTTGCATTATTCTTGCATGATGGAATTATTGTTCTTATATAGTTCTACTAAAATTTTATGCATGCTCAGAAACATCCTGAAAAGTATACTTGTTTGCACTACTTGACCCCATCCACAGCCCACAGAAACTTGGTTTTATTTTTGAGACAACTTATGCTCCCATCCTGGACACAGAGAGATGGCAACGGGCACAAACCTGCTGGGTTTTTGCCATCCCAAACCCATACCCATGAACAAAAAATCTACCCATCAGAAAACCCATGACCCATCACGGGTTTAATTTTATGCCCAAACCCATGCCCGTGATAACAAGTACACCAACTTTTCTATGTTTTATTAGCAACTGCCTGTGATGACAAGCACGCCAACTTTTATATGTTTTATTAGCAACAAGCATGCCTTTTGGAAAAAAATATTTATTACTATATTTCTCTAATACAAAGTACATAGAGCAGTATGGGGAAAAATTCACAATGACACATGTATTCAATGCTTACGCACAAAGCCACCAATGTTGCCTTGTTGTGAATTGTGAAGTGTCCAACATCCATGTGCTTATATATATAAGAGTTTGGTACTGGTCTTCTTGTTTGAATAGACGAGGTGGGACTATTTCTTCTCTCAGTGAGTAAAGCTAGCAGGCAAACATCACTGCTGTTGTAGAGTGCCAACAAGCCACTATGCTAAATGGGCCGGTCCAGAATTAGACAGGTCTCATGTGCTCTCAAAGTCTCATGCGTGTGAGTGTTATTTTTTTTTTCAAAAATCCTACTGTGTAGTTCAGGAAAATTTAAAAATACTCATTATTGACATAATACATGATAGATCGGGTTTAAAAAACCCATGGGTTTATGGGTTTGGGTACTATATCCCCAAACCCACACCCACGAGGGGTCTGGCTTTTTACTCATTAGCCATGGGTAGAGAAGTTGACCCATGCCCTTGCCCTAATAGGGTAAAACCCATCGGGTTTTGGGTACCCATTGCCATCTCTACACACATGCTTGGTTTTGGCTTTTCAAACCATCTGTATTGATTGAAAATTGGAATTTCTTCCATCAGTTTATCTTATTTGGGAGTGAAGTATTCTAGGCGCAAACAAAAGGCCCGCAAGGAGAAACAGTGTGGCTGAGTTGGGAGTTTCCAGGAGAAACAGGATAATAGTGGCTGAGTTGGGAGTTTAGCCATGGAGGTCATCATCTTAGGTTGTACAACAAACCCTTCAGGATAGGGTGCATAGATAGAGTAGCTGAATATCCCTGCACCATCTCAGTTTTGCCTGTAGCATGTAGCAGTGATGATGTGCTATGACACAGAATTGAACTCTGCGCCTGCCATTTCATAGAATCTATCTGCTCTTTTTTTTGTTAGTATTTATTACTAATTTCATTGAGATCCTTTTATTTCTTTTTTTGGCAGATGTTTGAGACTAGGAGACAGTAGCATGTAATCCATCCATATATATATAGCTAGGCATTGTGTAAAGCAAGCATCAAACTACATTAGTGTTTAGGCAATAGATCTTTCTTTTCGCCATCAGAGGTCCATATTCCTCCCAAACTCCTTTCTTTGACTTGCTGCTGGAAGCCTAAAATACCAAAAAGCCATAATTTTTGTTTGCAGTGCATTGTTGTTGGCCCAACAGCTGTGGGTACATAACCAAACAAGTTAGGTACACATAAGCTGGTGCATGGTCACGTAGAGTACAGTCCAAAAAGTAGGCAACTAGCCATCTAATTAACCATTGAAGCCTCCATCTCCATCTCCAGTTGGTCCATCTCAGTTTCAGTTTTGCTTCATCCTCCAGCATTGTAGCAATGATGTGCGTCTTCATCATCACAGAATTGAACTTGTGTTCTGCGCCTGTTCCCATTTCATAGAATCCATCTGCTCCTCTTTTTTGTCTTCATTCACAATTTTCATTGACCCATTCATTTTCCCAATGAAATTCATCAAGAATAGTGGATTGTATCTTTATTACTAATTTCTGTTTTCCATTCATTGATTTGGTAATACTTTTTATCTTTTTGTATGGACCTACACAAAATATTTTATTACCATACTTAATTTTCAGAGTAGTACACTAATTTTAGGCAAGCGCAACAAAGGCTAACAATCCTTTTTAAACATTCTACCTTGCTAATCTTCCTTGATTAAGCAGGCCCCGCTTATATTTTGTATAGCAACTCTAGGTAAAGCTAGGCTGCAAATAATTCTAATACCTTGTCTTTGTATTCCTTTTTCACTTTTGTCTTGAAAAAAAAGCTGCTAATCTATTAGATTGTTTCTTGTTCCACTCAGAGGAATCTATGTTTTATTACATTCAAAACATTGCACTCTTTTGTTTCTTATGAGTTATTTTTTTTATTTAGTTGTGATATTGACTTAGCGTGATATTATTTGTTACCATATAATATCAGTTTGTCTGTAGGCCTTTTGATATATCTTGGTTGGGTGTTGTCAGTAAGTGGATTATTCAAGGTCCTGCGGGCAGCTGCAACATTTTTTTTTATGTTTTTTCTTTACTCAAAATTTTGTTGGGTCATTTTAGATGGAATCTTTCTTAATTTTGTTCATCATTTTCTGTGACTATTGTGAGCCATGAGGTTTATGGTTAAGCTTCAAGTTATCAGGTACGGAGGACCAAGTTTCTGCAAATCATGGAAATTAGGAGTCTGCAAATGATCCAATTTTCTTTTGTTGGGTGTTCATATGTTGGGATCCATGCATACCACCTGGTTTAG